AGATGGGTCGACACATTGATGGGAAGCAAAATGCCCCCGTCGCAGAACTGCGCCCAGGGCTTTTTTCCCCTAAAATTCACAACTTTTCCCCAAAATGAACTCAAACGAGAATTTTCCCGCAAAGCACCACTACCGACAGTGAGCGAATTTGAATGGAATATTGGGAACCATTGTATTACTGAAAAGTACAACAAAACGACGGGAAAAGCTCCGAACTATTTGATGTATTGAAAATTTAGCGCCAAATTTCCACAGGACATTAATTGCGCCGACACGCTATCACCTTCCATTCGGGCGTAGCTTATCAGGTTGTAACGCATTACGTTCAAGCCGAAGAACGAACGCCGTTTTCACTGTACTATGACTGAATAATCACGGAACAAAGACATGCAAGAGTTAGAACGTTCGGGAAAAAGAGATCGGAAGAATAAGGCAGTTGGCGTCGATCGTTTTGTCTGCGCCACGCACTTCACTTCAATTCGAAAACGCGATAACATTTGAACGAGATTTTCACTGCACATTGTCCGACGGATGACTAACAAAACCAGCTATTGAACAATTCAGTTATTTTCATCTTCTTAGATGGGTCCGCTAGCGACTGGTCGGTCCTGAAGGGATGGAAGGCTTGGCTAGCCGGGACGAAATTAGTTCAGGACTCCCCCCCCTTTCTGAGCAGCACCGCGGGATCGGAGGACTGGAGAGTCAGAGAATCGCAGAACAGAGGAATTCTAAAACCCGCAAACAGGGAAGCATACGGTATGGAGAGTTGAAGAAGTGAAGAATCTGCGAATCGTAGGATGCGTTCCAGAGATTGGAGCGGTTTCATATTCTCGACCCGATCGCTTGTAAATGCGCGATCGAGAAGTATGAACGCGTTCTCAGATATCTAGCGATTCACTCCGCAGAGCTAGGGAATTGGAAGAGCTGAGATCAGAGACCAATCGATACGTATCTATCTTTCGCGACTTTTGCGGATTTTCCGATTCTGCGATTCTCCGATTTCCCAGTGTCGTAAGTAATGAACGAGTCTTACAAAGTTACCACTTGCCTGGTTTTCGAGGTCACTTTCGTATTTAATTAGTGGTACAG